CTGTATCTTTAATGTTGTATTATATGATTGCTTATTTTTAACTTTTTACTTATAGGCAATCACATCTGACTGATTGTCTACAATGAAATTATAATAAACCGATATGCATGACGTTTCATTTTTATTTATTCAAAAAAATACTTTTTACTGTGGTGTTTTTATTATAATTTTAATAAATTATTTTAAAGAAGCATTCAAATATTACAAACAGTATTTTTTTTTTGTTCAGTATGTAGGATGCTGGAAAACCAGATTTATGAAGGAAAACCTGAAAAGTATGCATACTAGTCATAGTCTGTGTGTGCAGTTAAAGCAGTCTTATCATTTATCTTGGGGGATTGCCAATAGAAAAACCTGTTTCATTCCGACAGAGCCCAGGCCTTTGATTGTTTGATTCCACATTAGATTTGAGTTTAGAAAACACTGACTCTCCTATGAGGGCGGAAAACTGATCTTAGATCAACACTCTCGTTCTGTGTGTGCTGTGTGTGTTATACGTCAAGTCGTGTGTATCCAGCTGCATTGGGATGTAGTTTAAGCATTGTGTAAGAAACTGGCATCTCAGCATTTTTTTTTTTAGTCTTTTCTTTTTCTTTTTTCTTTTTTACTCTGCTGTCTTTTTTCATTTCCTCATTCTCTCCATCTGGCACTCGAACACTTCTCAGTTGAACGCAAACAATAAATTCTGCTTTTCATGGTCGCTTGTTTGTGACATACAGAAAATACCATTAGAAGTTTTGATTTCAATTTCATGTTGATGGTTTCATTTCAACAGTATTATTTCCGTAGACCTCAGCATTATGTAAAAGCATGTGAACAAGCGTCACACACACATACACAAGGGTTTATAAGTCGTTTTTATAAGTCTTCTGTGTACAGAATTGTTCTCTACACGAAGGCTGAGAGCTCTTCTCATGATTGGCCTGCTGTGAGGTCACTTCTACGAGCCACATGGTAACTAATCTTTTTATCTTAACCTCTCTCTCTCTCTCTCTCTCTCGATCGAGAAATAATCCAGGGTTGGATTATACAATCTCAGTCAGTACACACATTCCTTGTTTATTTTGTAGCAGCGGTGTAAACCTCAGTTAGAGAAAACTGAAGTACTTTTAAATCGTAAACTAACAGGTTCGCTTTGTAAGAGCAGATAGAGATTCTGTTAGTTTCAGTTATGTATGTGTAAGTCAGATGCCAGGTGTGTATATCACAGGAAGGGGAGAGAGTAAGGAAGGTTATATGAGCAGACGGCCTGTTACATGTTTGATCTGTTTGACCTAGTTCTCCAGAGACCTTTTCTGCCCTGAAGACACTGATACAGTCTGCTCAAAGTCAGAAGAGGATCAGAGGTGCTTCAATGACACAGGCAAACATGATAGAGCCTTTTTACAAGCATTAATCATTAAACGCCATTCAACGAGAAAAGCCATGTTCATTTCACTAGTGATAAAATATGTACGGCCCAATTCAGCTGTTTGCTATTAACAGATTCATTATCATGCTAGCCTTGGAGTTAAAGTATTGAGTATTTATATTTTAAGATTTCTTGTAGTTACCTAGGTGACACAAATTCTGAGAATTCAAGAACCATTTTCGACGCATTACAAAAATGTTTGAGGCCTTGAAGGTGCCGTATGTAATATTGACAACTAGTGATTGAAATGGGTTGAAAATGGGTTGTTTCCCCTGCCCCCTCCTTCTCAGACTTGATGCTCACGCTGGGTGCCAGTTTGAGGACATGCTACAGGAGTGAGTGCAATTGACAATGAAAGGCAACGAGCCAAGTTGATGTATCTGCGTTTTAATATGCCTCTGGTTCTAGAGCTTTTTAAATGGAAACCAAGGCTTTTAAGGTTGGGTAGAATCTACGATCTATGAATCAGTTTGTTTGCTTGCTTCCATGGCTGGAATATGCTGTGTTTTCCTCCAACTGGCAACCCGGGGTGTCAAAATACTAATTGGTAAGTTGTCAGTGGGCGGAATCACACAGACCAAAACAAAAACAGACATTCCGACACTGAAGTTTTTCAGATGCAAAAATATTATGGTATTTTTATGCTTTAGAGCACCTTTAAAAAATGATCAATGAACCTGAGATTGTAACATTGCAACACAGCTCCAGTCAACTGTCCCGAAACTCTGTACCATCTTTATTGTTAAGGCCAAAATAGTGAAATGATACTAAGTGAACTGATGTCTTACATTTGATGAGTTTGCAAAATGCCTTTTGTCGTCACCATCACCGCAGATTAAACCAAAGAGCTTTTTGCCAAAATGATGTTTGAGTGTTAAAATGTCTGTTAAAATAAAAGCATTAAGCGTTGTCATATGCTTGAACCCAAATTATGATTCATTGGATGTATTTTATGGAAAAATCTCTTCCGATTCATGAACTGTGCCATTAATGCTTGAGTAGATGGAGTATTTGCTCCTTGTGGTCTGCATTTACTTGTCTTATCTTCCCTCTCTTCCACTGCAGTCGAGTCATAAAAGCCCATGTCCGTGATCTCTGTCGGCCTGTTACCGCTTGATGGCTAGCTGCCATGGTAACCGACAAATTTGATTTCATTGTAAATATCTGACATTTTTATATAAGCATACACGGATAATTCACCCATAAGAGCTGATGATAAGTATTCTGCTCTGAAAACGAGCTTTTCTAAAGCCATACTGATGGCTCATAACTTCATAAATTACAGCCTCCATCTGTCTCTTGTTAGCGGGTTTGTACGTGTTGTGATGCTGAATGTAGCTCTTAGTAAGGCTGGGGAATGGCCTGATTAAAAATAACAATCCTCATAGTTTTGTAGAAGAGAAAATTGATTCAGGGAAATTGAAAAGGATAATTCACCCAAAAATAAAAAAACAACGTGCTGTTATAATTTATTATTTTTCATATTAGCTAAAAATATTAATCTCTACCTTAGCTTAGAAATCTAATTCATGCTTTTTAATAAGTGAAAGCACTATTTTTGTACTGATTTGAGTTGCCAGGGAGATATTTTCTTTAGATCTACTGCAGAAGAATACATTTTTAGAATTGAAAAGATTAAAAGAATGAATAACCATTTCAATTCTAAAGCTATTAAATCGCTTTAAAAGAAAAACAGTGGTATTGACTACTTTTATGGTGCCTTTTTAGTCTGTTGGGAACAACTTGACAGTTTAAATCGGCATCAGTTTCGGCACCTAAGACATTCTGCTATAGTAAATATCTCCTTTTGTGTTGCAAGGAAGAAAAAGAATCGTATGAGTCTGACGTGGATGAATAAGGGTCAGTCCATTTCAAGTGATCCATAAATTGTAAAGTTGGATTCTTTTTTAATTGTTCCATTTTTCTTTTTTAAACGATTCACGTCTATTTATTGGTATTGCAAAACCACCAGTTTTTTATTTTACTTGGTTTAACCATGGCAACTGTCTACAAATAGGCTATTGCTTCTACAGATGTTTATGGGAACCTCAATATCTCGGATTAGGATGGTCCGTGCTCTTTGGAACAAAAACTGAAGTCCAAATGTAGTGATCAAAATTGATTCAATTTCCATTTTTAAGGTGTGGTCACATTAGCAAAATTTTGTGAACAGGTCTATTGTCAACAGCAAACCAAGCATCTTTCTTTTGGTCAACACAGCAAATGTGCGTGACCAATTTGAACCCTATGTGGAAACTGTGTGGGGAAATCTTTCACCCTAACGAAAAATTTCAAATTGTGTGGATTCTTTTTGAAATGACTGGATTTCACTTAGGGAAATTTGCAGAATGACAGTAAATGTGAATGCAAATTTTGGGTCAATTTGAAGGGTTCACACCTCTTGTGGTGGGTATCAAAGTAAGAAATGTGCATGAACAAATTTCAGGTCCACTGGACCACTTGAGATGAATTGACCTGTAAATTATGATTGAATTTTAATTTTTGGATGAACTACCCCTTTTGCCTGAATGCATTTTATGTCCTTCAGGACTATAGGGATGGCTTATTATTGCCAGCCTATTGCACAGGTTCATAAAGTGACCTTATGAAGAGCTTCATTCATTTCCTCATTCCAAGAGTTTTATTTTCTGGCTTAATCTGATTCTTTACACTCCAGTTGGTCCACAGCTTATTTCAGGCCAAAAAATGCTGACCTAAATCTTTACTATTATGGTAAAAAGAAGAACCATTTTCTTAATCCAAGGTCGTTATATTTGAGAAATCTTGAACCGTTATGTTGCTTGTGTTTTTTTTTCCTTCCAGTTTTCAGTTCTGAGCAGTGATGTCATGTGACTGTGATTAAAAAAGAAAAATTGGCTCCTTGGCTTATTTCCTGTTCTAATAAACTATGCATCCTTTTGGTTCCTGAGGCAGTTTCATGGCCATGTTTTTCTGGATTTTCTCCACCTTTGTGCCTTTGTCATCTATTGGCTGGCTACAATATTTATTAAAGCTTTTTCTTTGAATTGACTACCTTTAGACATATGGTGTCTCCAATAGATAATCAAAAATGTTATACCTTTTAATTAATTGAAATGTGCAGATATTTATCTTTTTTTTCATACAAGTGAAAACACAAGGTGCAGGCATGTTAAAACTTAATGGCGCTAATAAAAAAAAATAACAAACTATTTTTTTTTTTAATTCGTTCATTGAAATTAAGCTGAAATAAAATATAAATATTAGATGAAAAACTTACTAACTGAAATAAAGTAAGTTGAAGTACTACAATTATTAAAACTGAAAGAGAAAATTGAAATATAAAGAAATTAAAATGGCCATTTTTAAAAAAGTAAACTAAACACAAAAAGCTAATTCAAAATATTAATAAATATTAATAAAACAAATGCTAATTCAAAATATGACTAAATACTATAATAGTATATAAAAAAATACTAAAACATTTTTCTATACAACCAAAAGTTTAATATGAAATATATGGAACTGAATACAAGCACTTTTTATAGGCACATTTTCATTGTATCCTTTTTAAAGTTTAAAATTGTATTCTCTCTCTGTTTCCTTTCAGGCGGAGAGAGGCGGTGACGTGTACACACTTAGTGTGCCGACGGTCATGCGCAGAGGTGGTTCTGAGACGTGTTTAGACCTGGATTCTGATCTGGCGGTACGGGACACCCCACGATCACGTTCTGGTCTGGACACCCTGCAGCAGAAAGTGCTAAAAGTGAAAGAGCAGCTGCGAATTGAGCAAAACTTACAGGATGAAAACGTGGCAGAGTATCTCAAACTCATTAACAGCGCCGACAAGCAGCAGAGCGGCCGCATCAAACACGTGTTTGAGAAAAAGAACCAGAAAACGGCACACAATATTGTTCAGCTGCAGAAGAAGCTAGAGCAGTACCAACGCAAGATGAAGGAGTGTGACATCTCGAATGGGACCAAGCACACGCCCACACACTCCAAAGAAAACGAGATGCCCAAAGACAACCTCAAGGAAAGCGTGGTCACGGGAAGTGGGCGCCACGTACATTTAGACAAAGTCAGAACTGTTGGCCCAGGAGTTTCGCTGTCGCCGCCGTTCTTCTTCAGCAAGCCTCGAGAGATAGCAAACCTCATTCGCAACAAGTTTGGTAGCGCGGACAACATAGCACAGCTAAAGAGCTCCATGGAGACGGGAAGCGGGCTGCAGGCGGAAGGGGGAGCCCGAACTCTGAGCGGCAGCGCCACGCTAACCCCTAAACCCAAATACCCGAGTGATGACGAGTGCTCCACAGGGACATCGGTGTCGATTGAGAGTAATGGTCATGTGACTGGATCGGGTGCGACAGGGCAGCACAGCGGGTCTGCGAGAGTAGGAGGCCAAGGGGAAAGCAGCAGCCGGCTGGTGGAAGCCTGGGAGGAGATAAGGGAGTTGAGGGAAGCTCAGAATCTACTGGCAGACGACATTGACACTCTGAAGACCCAGTTTAAATGTGAATTTGAGAATATTACACAAACACTACAAGAGGAGCGGTTCAGGTTAATTGTCTTTCATACTCTATTTTCTAATGCAAACATGTTAATGTTTAACACAACTGCGATGTGTCAATATAGTATTAATAGGGATACACAATACATCTGTAGCATATCGGTTATTGGCAAATATTAGCGATATTAAAAATAATACTAGTTTAATTTATCAGTAATGTTCGACAATGGATATTTAGTATGCTCATTTATCATATTTTTAAATTAGAATTTTTTTTACCTTCACCGTCATCTCACTTTAAAGTTCTTCTTTAAAAACACTATAATTTAAAAGTACTGTTAAATGTAATATTTCACAAATCTCAAAATTAATATTCATGTTGTTCCTCTGTAAGGTGTGAGCGATTGGAAGATCAACTGAATGACCTCACTGAGCTTCATCAAAATGAGACTGCAAATCTCAAACAGGAACTAGCCAGCATTGAGGAAAAAATGGCCTATCAGGCCTATGAACGAGCCAGAGATATACAGGTAAAAACAGACACACACATGCAATGACATGTACTATCCTAAAGTTATGTACAGCGCTCATAAGGAATACCAGCCTAGTGTTATTCCTTGTCCTATCCAGCCACAACGTGATAAATCAATGAAATGATCTTTTCCATGTTAATTTGAGCTTTAGTCAAAACCAGCCACAACCACAACAACCCACAGTAAAATCTTACTCCACATATAGTAACTGTACTACAAAACACTACAGGTTCAACGGTAACCCCCGATACTTCAGTTTTGATGTGAATGCTTAGTGTACGCAAGCAGAGCTGAATGCATAGCCTTTGAAAGTACACTTCATTCGATAGTGTGCACAGCTGACACGTGAGCCCTAGAAAGCTTTATCTTTGTCCAGTGTCTGTGCTATTTCTCTCCAAAAGTTATGACAGATAAACATGTTTTTGTAATATTTCTAACTAGTTGCGGGTATCTCTATCAGTGTTGCCACACTGTGGACCAACCAATATGTAAAAAAAAAAAAAAGAAGGGCTGCACGGCACGCTTACTGTGCTGATGATAAAATTACACACACCCTCTCTAGGGTGACCCAGTCCAGAAATTGGGAGCTTTGTTCTGCTTCCCGCAAGACGTAAGTGAGTCCACATCACTTTTAAGTGAGAGGCTATTTCTGTGCCTCTCGTTGTACTAAACGGATTTTCAAACAGGTTTCTCAAACAGTCCCTTTATTTGCTATTGGCTGTGGCTGTGCATATAATCCCGTCCCAAACTCACGTCATTGATTGAGGCAAAGTTGAGATGTCAAGCTGGGCTGCGTTTTTGCTGCCACCTACAGTACTACCGTAGTATGTGATGCATCGTTGGAGAAATGATCTAGCTAGTCTAGCTAGAAACTGTAGTGGCTTAGTTGCATATCTGTCGTTCAAACCAACAATATAGAACGTCATGCAAGTGGTGGGGTAATAACTTCACATAATTAATCGGTTCGAGATTACATTATTTATATATGTATATATTATATGCATACACACATACACAAACTGCTTGGTAAATGCTTAAGAGTCAATTATTGGATCATTATTTATTATTTATGTTTCTAGCATGTTATATGTTTGTTTGCATCAGTTCTTCTAACCCTAATTGATGGAATACAAGATCTTTACCAAAAATTGATACACCTCTTGATGGAAATAAATGTTGTGATGTTATTTTTGGTCAAGATCTTGTATTGGCAATGCAAGAGTCCAGCACTCTGTAAAGTCTCCTCCAGCACATCCCAAAGACTTTCAATGAGCTTAAGGTCTGGACTCAGAGGTGCTAATTCATGTGTGAAAATGATTCTTCATGCTCCCTCCCAACCATTCTTTCACAATTTGAGCCTGATGCATCTTGGCTTTGTCATCCTAGAATATGGCCATGATGCGTCTTCCTACATGAAAAGCTACACACTCCATTAATTAGGGTTAGAAAAACTGTTGACAAACATATAACATGCTAGAAAAATAATAATCACTGCAATAATAACCCAATCATAGATTCATAAGCATTTGCCAATTTAAATCCAAACCGACTTTTTTTTGGCTGGGCAGTGTGTATATATAGTGAGAGAGATAATGAAATGTATAGATTGTATAGCATGTTAGCATGAGAAACAAGAATCTGTTTCTAATCACAAATCAAGAGCTGTAGTTCAAACCATACGACTTTGTGTTTTTGTTTGCAAACTTACATTGGAACTATGGTTTTGGGAAACACAGAATCACTGAACTATGTTGATAATGACCATAGAGCATACCAGGTTGGGATGCTGATGATCGCAAAGTGTGATTTTATTGATTTTGGTTAAACACTTACCTTTTAAACATAATTTGGCCATTTAGTTTATAGATGTTTCCTTCAACAAAAGAATCCAAAAGAAGCCAGAGCATCAAGCTTTACAAAACAGACTTTAAGTGCAGCGACAGCAATTTCCTCCCCTGGTTAAAGAGCAGCTGGAAACCTGGAGTGAATATAGAACAGTTTTATTAAATATCAGCAATCTTGGAACGCTGCTTAGCCAATCAGATTTGACAACTGGAATTGTTGCATCTCTGTCTTTCCCTCTTTGCAGGATGCTTTGGAAGTTTGTCAGACGCGAGTGAGTAAGTTGGAGTTGCAGCAGCAGCAGCAGCAGGTCTTGCAGTTGGAAGGTGCCGACGCCAAAGTGCTGCTGGGAAAATGCATTAACATCATGCTGGCCATCGTCACTGTGATCTTGGTGTGCGTCTCCACGGCTGCTAAGTTTTCCGCTCCACTAATGAGAAGTCGTCTACATGTTTTCGGGACTTTCGTATGCGTTTGTCTACTGGTGTATGGCTGGAGCAACTGGGAGCACTTGCAGTGCGCAATAGAACGAATGCTACTGCCTAGATGAGGGACGTAAAACATGCGTGTTCAGTGACGTTCGCGTCAGATAAAGTGCTCCTCCGGGGATCTTCCCTTCACAATGTGACTCATAAGACAATGGCTTTAACATAGACTTTTGGTCCATTTTGTGTTTGTGTGTAAGTGAACGAGATAGTATTCATGATGTACTGTAGCATAAACGGGTCCATCTCAGTGACTGTATTGTTATACTTTCGAATAACATGTTTCCATTCGTCAGCTGTGTCTTAAAAGTAAAGGTTTACCACCTTTTCTACACATTTTATGTGCTTTCCTAGGTGGCGATGGCATGTTTGTGCTCACAAAAACAAATCTGGGTCATATTTCGTCCCACAATCATAAGAAATATATATATATATATAGCATAAAGAAAATTAAGACTATTTAGGGACCAGATATTCTTTAATTTTTTTTTGCACTGACTGTCATAATTATGTTTTTATGGGTGTTTTACTTCTGACTACTTGTCATTATTCTTGATTCTCATTAGGTTCTTATTACTGCGAAGAATGTGAATCTGGAAACAATTTACAGTAATTTTAATATAGGACAATGTTTTTCATTTTAATTATGAGAATGAGATTTTATTGCAGTAATGAGATTTTTGGAGAAATGTGATTAATTATAAATAATGCTAGAATGCAGAGCATGTAATTGTCTTAAAGGGCTTGATTTTCTTTATGCAAAAAAATATATATATTTTGGAATTTAGGGTGAAATACAAACCAGACATGTTTTTGACATGCTTTGTGAGTTTCATTCGTTTACTAAGATTACGTTTTCTTGCATTATTTGTACTAATGAAATGGCCTGAAGTTCTTTTCACCGACACTTTAAACAGTTAAAAAGTTTGAGAATCTGTTTTTGTTTTTTAATTATTATTGTTCTTTAGTCTGATCAGCGGTGCTCTGTACTGACCACAAAAGATGGAAACAAACACTTTCTTTTTGTTTGCTAATAGAAATGCCTTGGGGGTTATAGAACAACAGAAGGAAACAAATGTTAAGTTTATGTAATGCATTCTGAACTGTTCTTTGTGGAAGTTAGAATTACTATTTTTATATATTTTTAAGTAGCTTGTAAGCTTTAATGATTCCCACAATGCAAACTGATTTAAGCATTACTACAACTGTCCCTTTTGAGTGTGCGTGTGCCTGCCTGTGGTTTTGACTGAAAATTATACAAGCCACAACATCTGAATTTACCCATGAACCTGAACTAAGTGGTTGTGTAAAATTAGAGTTTTGGAGGCCTTTTTTTCTCTAAGCATGGGAAAAGTGATTTTATTTGTTTTATACATGCTTCTGTGTCCATCCGGTAGGAAACTGGTCTGGTTTTAATTATCGTCAAAACCTAAAAAATAAATCTCCTCAGTTTCTCTATTTTATGATTCTGTCTTTATTCAACCACATGAAACTAATCTCTCATATGGTGGAACCATTTGTTGTGAACTAAGATACTATTTTTTGTGAAAATGTAAGTTAGCTATGTTCGTTTCTTTTCTTTTCTTTTCTACATCTCTATCTGTGCTGTTTGATATTAGCAAACCCTGTATTAGACATTCTCTGATATTAGTTACCTGAAAGATAATCCTTTGCGAGACTACAGCGATGACGCTTGTGCTTCACTTTCAGATGCTTGTCGCCCTCTTGTGGTTGATGAAGGAAACGGAGCACGATGAACTCCGATATGAAACTATGGAAAAAAGCTTCAATTAATATATCGTCGGACTCCGTATCAGTAAAATAATAAACTAAGCGGAATGACAATCCACGCCATTATATTTAACAGGAGTCCCGGCTAAAAATACGAAAACTATACTGTAACGTTACGTTTTGTGTAACTTGGATAGACCGCTGAAAACGGTTAAAAAACTACTAACGTTATACCTGTTGGTAGAATAGCGTCGCTGCTTAGCTACTCCAAAACTGGTTAAACGTTTTCAGTCAAGACTATTTCTTTTTATGTAGAATTAGCCATTCACACTCCTGTTTTCTTGACTTTTAGGGTTGGTTTCTCCGTCTCTATGTTAGCTACTCTCAGCAACAACATGATTGAACGACTGCGACATCATCATCATCATCGATGAAACCGACCGTTAGAGAAGATTGCGTCACCACCTAATTTATGCAGTTGAATCCAGCTTATTTTCTATCATTAACTTTAAGTAGTTTTTGTATTATTAAAGAACTAATATATATTTATTCCTATATATCCATAGGTTTTTTTTGCCCCCCTCCCCTCTCCTCTCAATTCAATTCAATTCACATTTATTTGTATACCTATCTACCTAAATATTGTTACAGATCAGGTACAGACCAACAGTGTCCTCTTTCAGCAGGATAATGCACCCTGCCACAGAGCACACATTGTTCAATGGTTTGATGAACATGATGAAGAGTTCAAGGTGCCCCCTGGCCTCCAAATCTGTGGGATGTGCTGGACCAACAAGTTTGATCCCACAGCGGTTCCACCTCACAACCTGCAGGACTTGAAGGATCTGCTGCTAAAGTCTTGGTGCCAGATACCACACACACCTTCAGGGGTCTTGTAGAGTTCATGCATTGGCGGGTCGGCGCTGTTTTGCATGTTGAGGACCCAACAGCATATTAGGCAGGTGGTCATAATCTTGTTTGCTCTATATAATGTATATTAGTTTATCATATTGCCATTTCCAGTTTTATGAAATGAAAACAGTGGTTTATTGCTTAGCGATCAGATAATCTGATGGCATTTTCATTTTGACATGTCACTGTCAGGGAATACCAGACACGGAGACAGGGAGTTAGTTCAACCCAAACAGGTATTTATTGACAGATGATATGCACAGTTAATCAGGTGAGTAATGAAGCAGTCCGAATAATGAGGAGCAGATGAATACTGAATAATAGTCTCTCTTTTTTTTTTTACCAGGGTAACAGAGGACTGGTGGTGACTGGAGCGTGAAGAGTAGAGAGAGCACACACCTCTTGCTTGGCAGGTGTAGGGTGACAGTGACATGATGTGAAGGCCAATTATGGTAACCCATCCTCAGAATTTGTCCTGCATTTAACCCATCCAAGTTAGTGCACAAACATTAGTAGTAGTGCACACACTGCAAACCGTGACACACCATTGTGACGCCCGGGGAGCGATTGGGGGTTAGGTGCCTTGCTCAAGTGTGAATCGAACCAGCAAACTTTGGATTACCAGTCGGACTCGCTAACCATTATCCCACGACTGCCCCTGCCTCTCTCACAGACTGCCCACGACTGGGTGTAGGGTGAGTAGACAGAGGTAAGTATAATGTTCCAATAAATTGCTTACAGGAGATCGCTGGAGAATTACAAGGAGACTTCACAGATAATAGTGCGTAATCCGTATTGGAAACCAGACAAAAAGTGACTGTGAGGTGTGTGCTTTTACCCGGGTGCTGATTGGAGTGTGGGTGATGGCTGAGCGAGTGCAGGTGAGGGACAGTAGGGATGCTGGGAAATGTAGTTTCTGACTAGATGTCTGGACTGTTGAAGATGGGCAGATGGAAAGCATACGAGACAGGCGACCTGTCGTCGACAGTTGAAATCCAACCTGATTTGCTGTCCACAATGGAGGAGCTTCCTCTCGTTTCAGAGGAATGTTTGTTGAGATAGCTGTATTATTATTGCACCCTGCAGGATTTCTAATATCATATATAGGACGACATAAACTTTTTCATAGTTCAGAAAGGGCATAATATATTAAGTGGTCTTAGTAAAATCTTATATTGCTTTTCATTGTAATTTCTTAGATGAATTGCATTCGTGCAGTTAGTAACTTATTTTAGACAATACAAAAGTGCATTTACATGGTTTTCGACTGATTATAATCTGAGCTTTCTTGGTCGTTAAGCGCAAGTGCTGTAGATGGTGACTTTCCGACTGAGTTCTTGCAGAACATCTCTGGCCTCATTCTCCAGCCCATCCAGTTCCTGAGCTTTCTCCAGCAGAGTGTGCTGGTTTATCACAAATGATCTCTCCAGCTCTGGAAGAGATAAAGAGAAAGAAACATCAGGATGGAATCATAGTTAAATCTGTAATCTCATATTCGAGCACTGTTACCTCTTAGTCTCTGTAGTTTGGTGGTGGAGTCTATTAATAGATCTTTTGCTTCTTGTCGTAGTTGCTCGGCCTTCTGACGTGCATCAATCACACCTGCTGCTTTTGGATCTATCAGACCGCTGACCAGCTGGTACTTAGGTTGCAGTGAGTCAATCTCCTAAAATACACAAAAATACACAAGCACGCTTATTTCAAAGTGTCTAAGAGTCCATGATGTATAAGAGTGTTCCCGATTTAAAAAATAAATCAAAGGAAGTAACCAAAGGTTTAGAAAAACCTGCTATATTCTCTTTATTTATATAGCTATAATCATATGCTATTTTCAAGAAAAATAACAGTTTAACATGCCTGTGGTTAATGATGATTAAAAGTAATACATTTTCCTTACAGCATATACAGTACATCTTAATAATTGCTGTCAAATCAATCGCAATTAATCACAGTTTTTTATATGATACATGTGCAAATATATATTATTATATTTATATATGTGTAGTATATATATACATATATATATATATTGTGTGCTTGTGTCTGTGTGTTTAAATATATACACACATGCATATATAATATATATGCATACATAAATAGGTGTGTGTACACACACATCTACATATAGGTACATACACTCACCGGCCACTTTATTAGGTACACCTGTCCAACTGCTCGTTAACACTTAATTTCTAAGCAGCCAATCACATGGCGGCAACTCAGTGCATTTAGGCATGTAGACATGGTCAAGACAATCTCCTGCAGTTCAAACCGAGCATCAGTATGGGGAAGAAAGGTGATTTGAGCGGCAGTTCTGTGGGCGGAAATGCCTTGTTGATGCCAGAGGTCAGAGGAGAATGGCCAGACTGGTTCGAGCTGATAGAAGGGCAACAGTGACTGAAATAACCACTCGTTACAACCGAGGTATGCAGCAAAGCATTTGTGAAGCCACAACACGCACAACCTTGAGGCGGATGGGCTACAACAGCAGAAGACTCCACCGGGTACCACTCATCTCCACTACAAATAGGAAAAAGAGGCTACAATTTGCAAGAGCTCACCAAAATTGAACAGTTGAAGACTGGAAAAATGTTGCCTGGTCTGATGAGTCTCGATTTCTGTTGAGACATTCAGATGTTAGAGTCAGAATTTGGCGTAAACAGAATGAGAACATGGAACCATCATGCCTTGTTACCACTGTGCAGGCTGGTGGTGGTGGTGTAATGGTGTGGGGGATGTTTTCCTGGCACACTTTAGGCCCCTTAGTGCCAATTGGGCA